CATCACCCACGCTTCACACCCATATAAGAGCGTTGGTAAAACTATACTCTCATACATTCCCCTCTTTGCCTCCAAGGACAAAGTTCTTTGTCTCCACAGACTCCTAAGTGCACCACTCACTCTTTTTCCCTCATCAATTCTATGATTCACCTCATCTTTCATAGACCCATCCGCTGACACGTCCACTCCCAAATATCTGAATACGTTCACCTCCTCCATACTCTCTCCCTCCAATCTGATATCCAATCTTTCATCACCTAATCTTTTTGTTATCCTCATAACCTTACTCTTTCCTGTATTCACCTTTAATTTTCTTCTTTTGCACACCCTACCAAATTCATCCACCAATCTCTGCAACTTCTCTTCAGAATCTCCCAAGAGAACAGTGTCATCAGCAAAGAGCAGCTGTGACAACTCCCACTTTGTGTGTGATTCTTTATCTTTTAACTCCACGCCTTTTGCCAAGACCCTCGCATTTACTTCTCTTACAACCCCATCTATAAATATATTAAACAACCACGGTGACATCACACATCCTTGTCTAAGGCCTACTTTTACTGGGAAAAAATTTCCCTCTTTCCTACATACTCTAACTTGAGCCTCACTATCCTCGTAAAAACTCTTCACTGCTTTCAGTAACCTACCTCCTACACCATACACTTGCAACATCTGCCACATTGCCCCCCTATCCACCCTGTCATACGCCTTTTCCAAATCCATAAATGCCACAAAGACCTCTTTAGCCTTATCTAAATACTGTTCACTTATATGTTTCACTGTAAACGCCTGGTCCACACACCCCCTACCTTTCCTAAAGCCTCCTTGTTCATCTGCTATCCTATTCTCCGTCTTACTCTTAATTCTTTCAATTATAACTCTACCATACACTTTACCAGGTATACTCAACAGACTTATCCCCCTATAATTTTTGCACTCTCTTTTATCCCCTTTGCCTTTATACAAAGGAACTATGCATGCTCTCTGCCAATCCCTAGGTACCTTACCCTCTTCTATACATTTATTAAATAATTGCACCAACCACTCCAAAACTATATCCCCACCTGCTTTTAACATTTCTATCTTTATCCATGAATCCCGGCTGCCTTACCCCCTTTCATTTTACCTACTGCCTCACGAACTTCCCCCACACTCACAACTGGCTCTTCCTCACTCCTACAAGATGTTATTCCTCCTTGCCCCATACACGTAATCACAACTTCCCTATCTTCGTCAACATTTAACAATTCCTCAAAATATTCCCTCCATCTTCCCAATACCTCTAACTCTCCATTTAATAACTCTCCTCTCCTATTTTTAACTGACAAATCCATTTGTTCTCTAGGCTTTCTTAACTTGTTAATCTCACTCCAAAACTTTTTCTTATTTTCAACAAAATTTGTTGATAACATCTCACCCACTCTCTCATTTGCTCTCTTTTTACATTGCTTCACCACTCTCTTAACCTCTCTCTTTTTCTCCATATACTCTTCCCTCCTTGCATCACTTCTACTTTGTAAAAACTTCTCATATGCTAACTTTTTCTCCCTTACTACTCTCTTTACATCATCATTCCACCAATCGCTCCTCTTCCCTCCTGCACCCACTTTCCTGTAACCACAAACTTTTGCTGAACACTCTAACACTACATTTTTAAACCTACCCCATACCTCTTCGACCCCATTGCCTATGCTCTCATTGGCCCATCTATCCTCCAATAGCTGTTTATATCTTACCCTAACTGCCTCCTCTTTTAGTTTATAAACCTTCACCTCTCTCTTCCCTGATGCTTCTATTCTTTGAAGATATACTGGTGAAATGAGGATGATTTTGATTGGTTTCAGGACTAGAAGTATCAAATTGGTAATTTGGCCAATTTTACACAAATTTCAAAATAGGGTCCAGAATAAAAAATGCAGGCATTCCTGGCACTAAAATACCATTTCCTCTGTTCATTAGTTATGCTTCCAGGTTTTACACATGAATTCCATTTTGATTTTTATTCACATGAATTTTTATTCACACCTAATAGATTTACTGTAATGCAATACTGCAATAATTATATAAATAATCAGTGCATTCATGAACACATATTAGAACCACTAGTTGACATGTAATGGACGTGTGATGCGATCTGTTTACTCTTGAACATCGGCAAAAATCAAACATTTCTGCTACTTTGAGTTCAATTTCAAGCTATTTTCCATTCTTAAACCATCAAGATCGTCTCTATTTCTGTAATATATCTTCCATTCTATCAAAAATACACCACAAAGTCACTGCTTTAAACCAAAAACACACTGTCGCAGTTTTTTTCTAATTATGCAATGTGTGCTGCAGGCTATTTTTTACATGGTGCACATTTATCACACAGACCCCTTCTCTCGTATCTACACCCAAATTTACTGCTCACAAGTTATGAGCCGAGCTCATCGTATAGTAATATGGCATGGACCCTGGCTTTAAAACCGTAGAACAACAACACAGACTCTCAAAGGGTTAAAAGTCATTGCATAGTTTATTCATATTCTGATAATTATACTTATGTGTACCTGTACCTAAAATAAACTTACACACTGTGCTGGCATGCAGGTAAACATTAAAATAACTGTTGAAGACCCCATAATAATACTACTAATAATAATACAGTGGACCCTTGAATTTCGTCCCCCCTTAACCCATAAACGGTCCAAACGTATATATACGTTCACTACCGTACTGCCCCAACTTTTTTGAGAAAAAACATTTCTGTTTTTTAATAGGAAAAAAGAGCATATGGTACATAGGCATCCCCAATTATTTTAATATGGCGCACAGTGAGTGCTCACACCCATTCTCTCATGTCTAGGCGACTCAGGCTTATCGTGGCAATGTAAAATGTATGACACATAAAACGTATACTATATACGTTTGGGGCACTAGCGGTAAAAACATATACAAATACGTTTGGACCGTTTACGGGTTAAATATCATGATTTTGGAAATTGGCTACTTTTTTCGTCAAAATATTGGCCTGATTTTCGTGAATTGGCTTTGAAATCGGCGGTCATATGAAAGTGGAGTGTGTGTGGTGGAGCTCTCCAGGATGTACAGTAAGGCCCATTCAACCATCACTCCCATCATGGCGAAGAAAAAGGAAATCAAGGAAGCTGATGTTGTGAAAGGGGTGAATATGCTCACGAAAGAGATCGCAAATAATCGAAGATGTTGAGAAATTGTTGCTGGTGTGGATCAAACAAAAAGAGTTAGCAGGAGATAGTGTTACACAGTAGATAATACGCCAAAAGGCAAGGCAGCTGCATGACGATCTTGTAGAGAAAAGGCCTGGAATGAGTGCTAATGTAGGTGAATTCAAGGCCAGCAAAAGCTGGTTCGAAAATTTCAAAAAGCAAAATGACATACACAATGTTGCAAGGCATGGTGAGGCTGCCAGTTCAGACAAACATGCGGCTGAAAAATTCATAAGTGAATTCAAGGACTATGCAGAGGGTGAAGGATTCGTCCCCAACAAGTGTTCAATTGTGATGAAACAGGCTTCTTTTGGAAGAAAATGCCAAAGAGGACCTACATCACACAGGAGGAAAAGACACTGCCAGGACACAAGCCTATGAAAGACAGGCTAACTCTCATATTGTGTGGTAATGCTAGTGGAGATTTCAAAGTGAAGCCTTTACTGGTGTATCACTCTGAAAATCCCAGAGCGTTCAAGAGAAACAGTGTCGCGAAGGCTAATTTGTGTGTGATGTGGAAGGCTAACTTACAGTAAGGCATGGGTCACGAGGGACATTTTCCTTGATTGGTTCAATTAGTGTTTGGCCCCAGTGTGAAGAAATACCTCCTGGAAAATAAATTGGAACTCAAGTGCCTCCTGGTAATAGACAATGCTCCTGCTCATCCTCCAGACTTGGAAGAGCAAATGATGGAGTTTAATTTTATCACAGTGAAGTTCTTGCCCCCTAATACCACTCCTCTCCTCTAGCCCATGGATCAGCAGATCATTTCAAACTTCAAAAAACTCTACACCAAATCAATGTTTCAAAGGTGCTTTAACATAACCTCGGACTCTGAATTGATTCTAAGAGAGTTCTGGAAAGATCACTTCAATATCCTCCATTGCATAAACCTTATAGGTAAGGCTTGGCAGGGAGTGACTTCCAGGGCGATGAACTCTGCTTGGAAAAAATTGTGGACAGAATGTGTCCTCAGCAAAGATTTTGAAGAGTACAAGCATATATATACACACCACTCTGGGTTCTCTATTTTCTTATTAGTTCTTGTTCTTGTTTATTTCCTCTTATCTCCATGGGGAAATGGAACAGAATTCCTCCATAAGCCATGCATGTTGTAAGAGGAGACTAAAATACCAGGAGCAAAGGGCTAGTAACCCCTTCTCCTGTATAAATTACTAAATTAAAAAAAAAAAAAAACTTTAATTTTTCTTTTTGGGCCACCCTGCCTCGGTGGGATACGGCCAGTTTGTCGAGAGAAGAAAGAATGCGTTTCCTTTCCCTTGGTCACCCTACATCAGTGGGAGATGGCCAATAAGGTAAAACAGTTTAGAAATAAATTTTCCTCTTTAGAATCTCAGAAAAATAAAGAACATTTACCAAGGCTGTGGTGAACACCTTCATTTATTATTAAAATGTTTCAAATTTCGTCATTATTGCTAAATTAATTAATTTAGGTACTTTCTGGCAATATCTGGAGAACCATTTCAAGTAATCTTCTGGCCAGTATCTGGTGTTCCTTCATATTTTTCCACTGATAAGCATTTTTTGTCTCCATGGGGAAGTGGAACAGAATTCTTCCTCTGTAAGCCATGTGTGTTGTAAGAGGCGACTAAAATGCTGGGAGCAAGGGGCTAGTAACCCTTTTTCCTGTATAAATTACTAAATTTGAAAAGAGAAACTCGTTTTTCTTTTTGGGCCACCCTGCCTCGGTGGGATACAGCCGGTTTGTGGAAAGAAGAAGCATTTTTTGTGACCTATTTAATAAAACACATATTTAAAAACAACGCTCATTTATTGTTCCATGTAGAGTGATGTAAAATAACCCAAAACTCCTTAATCTTTGATGAATATGAAATATCTTGGATGAGAAACTTTCTAATACAATATTAACCCATAATTTGTAGTTCTGTCTTTTCACATCACCCACTAAAGTAGGATGGCTGAAAGAAGAATCCATTCACCAACCTTCATTCAACAGGTATCTTTTCAGAGATGCATGGACACTGCATATCAGATAACACTTTGAATTCACACATTCCCACCTATCTTACAAAGAACAAACAGCACATGTACAATAAATCTTTCAGGAATTATAAGAAGAATGATTTTACCAAGTATCTTTCCCTGATATTAACTTTTATTCTACCACACTTTACTGTAGAATAGTATATGAATCTTAAAATACCTGCAAAATTATCACCTATTCTAATTCTTTACAATCTCTGAGGTGTCCCTCGTCTCTATGTATCTTAGCTGCTTCCGCTTCATCTTCTTTATCTTCAATGGATTTTTTATCTGGAAAAAAAAAAAGTATAAGTATTCACTAAATGAGATAAAGATATTCGCATTTTTTATTCAAACGACGTTAAAAAAAAATTGGCACTTTGGCAGGACTGCTGGTCTTTCTTTTTTTCACAAATATGCAAGCTGGATGTCCTGGCTTTAAGTGAAACAAAGCTGAAGGGGGTAGGAGAGTTTGTGGGGAGAAATAAATGGGATTAGGTCGGGGGTTTCAAATCGAGTTAGAGCTAAAGAAGTAGCAGCAATAATGTTGAATTTATGGCAGGAAAAGAGGGAATATAAATGTATAAATTCAAGGATTATATGGTGCAAAATAAGGGTTGGATGTGAAAAGTGGGTTATATTAAGTTTTATGCACCTGGAAGAGAGAGAAGTGTAGAGGAGAAAGAGATTTTGGGAAATGGTGAGTTAGTGCATGGGGAGTTTTGAACCAAGTGAGAGAGTACTTGTGGTTGGGGATCTCAATGCTAAAGTGGGTAAAAATGTTGTGGAAGGAGTACAGTGGAACCTCAAATATCGAACTTTCTTCGGTCCAGAAGGCTGTTTGAGTGCCTTTACCGAATGAATTTATTCCCATCAGGAATAATGTAAATTAGATTAGTCCATTTCAGACCCTCAAAAATACACTTATAAAAGCACTTACAAAAATACACTTACATAAATGGTTGTGTTGGGAGCAGTTTGATTTTTGAGGTTCCACTGTAGTAGGTAAATTTGGGGTGCCAGGGGTAAATGAATATGGGGAGCCTTTAAATGAGCTATGTATAGTATAAGTAATAATTATTTTATGAAAAAGAGGATTAATAAGTATACAAGGTATGATATATGTATATACAGTACAGGTAATTATAAATAATAAATGAATTCAAAATTTCCTTGGGCTTACCACTTGCACTATTTCTGCTTTCTTGGCATTTTCCTCTCTGCGGATCTTGTTAAGACGTCGTCGTTCTCGTAGCTCATCTTTTTTCCGTTGTTTCTCAGCTTGTATTGCTGCACTTTTTGCCATAACATTCTGGCGATTTTGTTTTATTTTCATCTTTTTTTCCCATGATTTTTTCCCTGTTGCATCCTTATTAATGGATCTAAATCTGAAAGATTTTCATCAGTTAGCTATTAAATTTGTCAGAAAAGATGCCAAAGTGATTCTGATATGGCTAATTTGAGAAAGTTCTAAGGTACATACTGTAGTGAATATAGTGCACTTAATTTCAAAGACAATACTAACTATAATAGTTTACATACATATTTATTTTAATATATCTGTATTTATAGAAATGCTTGCCCACACTTTTACTAAAAGTACTATGTATACAGTGCAGTACAGAAAGGAGAACTCTTCAACAATAAGAAACTAGCAGAGAGTTTTCCTGATTGATAAAAGATGTGACATCAGCAAGATCTGTGCTCATTTGGAAATAAATTCTCATCCTTCAGTTGTGCATTTTCTTTCACATGCACAGATCTATAATACTAAGACATAAGATATAACCACAATAAATCCATGAATGCCACTGATCGATCAGGAGAAAACACTGATATTGTCCTACTGGCAAAGAGTTTTCCTATGTATAAAATTCATAAAATTATCAACAGGCAATAACCTTAACTTAAAATATGAAACTTAAATCACTGAACTGCCATCAAGATAATTCACCAGCTTTGGTGATTCAAAAAGTCAGCAACTTCACCAGATATTACTCAACAGTTCTAAGGTTACCTGATTATCTACCTCTACAGGGCAAATAGTGAAATATAGTAATGCAAATTCTGCATAACAAATTATAGTACAGTACAGTACCTTTCCTTTTCCTTTTTCCACCATCTTCCTGACACTGGTAGTCCTCGAGGAGTTTTTTTCAGTTCAGCAATCTTATTTGCAAGTTCCAAATTTTCATCTAATATTTCTGTATTATTGTTGATCTTTATCTTTTTGGTTTTATGCTCAGTGGGTTGATAATTTTCACAATCATCAAGAGCATCATTTATGTTTGTGGTGCTGGAAACCTCTCGGTCTTTACACAATATCTCTTTTGAATTTGTGGGTGTTAATTTATTTGTACCACTAAGAACCTCTTCATCAGTCATCACAGTTGTTGAAACTGTCTCGTCACCAATCACCGAAATACTTTCACCATTACCTATCACTAAAGCAGGGCAATCACCTTTAACAATTTCCTGATCAAGTCCAACAACATCAATTTCCAGTTCTTCTTCATTACATTCATTGGGAAGTGCTAAACCCATAGGGGTCATACAGCACTTTTCTTCATCAGAGGTCACTTCCAGCAGTAGTAAGCTAGACGTTTTTGTTTCTTTACCATGTACAGCAGGAAATGATTCATTCTTAGAGTCAAGAACAGAGTCCTCATTTGTTAAATGGGAATTTGAGGGTTTAGAGTTATTTTCAATACCCAGTTCTTCAACTTCTTCAATTACTGACAAAGTATCTAACTTGATTTTACAGTAAGTGTTTCTTCCACTTTCTGACATTTGGAAACATTTTCACATTCCGCTGTGACAGTCGCCGTATCTTCTGACTTTAGTATTAAGGAATTACCAACATTATCTATTAGCTCATCACTTTCTTCAATTATTTGCAAAGATTCTTTGGGTTCTTTTCCTTCAGGAAATATTTTACTGGAACACTCACTCTCGGAAATCCCAGTACTGCTGTGTCGTCTGGACCGTCTTGCTGGAGTTGGCACTATAGGACTATCTTGACAATCAGTATGCAAATCATGACCTGAGCCACTTGTTGATAATCTTCTTGAACGTCTGATTTGAGTCTGAACCTCAAGTGCATCTTGGCTGCCTAGTGAAACCCTCCTCGTATGTTTGATTGATGTTTGAGGTTCTGGGGCAAGTGTTTCTTCATTCTCAGTTGAAATTTGCCCTGAACGCTTCGATGGAGTCTGGGTAAGGTCATGATCCCCCGATAACCTGCGGGAGCGCCGCACAGGAGTCGCAGGTCTGACAGCTAATGAATCTGTAGGATCCCCTGATAACCTGCGGGAACGTCGCACAGGAGTCGCAGGTCTGACAGCTAATGAATCTGTAGGATCCCCTGATAACCTGCGGGAACGTCGCACAGGAGTCGCAGGTCTGGCAGCCAATGAATCTGCAGGATCCCCTGATAACCTGCGGGAACGTCGCACAGGAGTCGCAGGTCTGGCAGCTAATGAATCTCCATCAATGTTACTCTTAATTACCAACCTTCTGGAAGATGCTGGCTCAGAACTCGCTGGGTCCTTATCTTTCCCACCTTCCTCCATATTATGGGAGTCAGATTCATTTTGGCTACTAGATCCGTTACCTTTTCTTGTCAGTACCATTTCGTCAATAGTACAACATCCACGTGAAGACACATGTAGTTACTGCACCCACTAAATCCTGAATATGTTATAATGACAATATTGAATTAGACTTTCCCAGAAAGCTTATATACTAACTACATACGATATTTTACAAGATATTAATATAATTTAAAATATACATTAAAGGATTTTTTTATTATTTGAAATCAAATAAACGTGTTGATAAAATAACTACAATACGTAATGCGTATATATTGTATCGAGCTGCTACCAAGGTCTCAACGAGGACCGTCGGCCTGGCAGCAGCCCTTCAGTGCTCAGGGATAAAAAAATAAAGAATAACGATTTTATTTCTTTCCAAAAGTTACAATGTGTAATTACAGTTTTTATTTGTTAAGTACAAAGAAAGCCACTATCATGGCAGGGCATTTCGGGCAAATTCAACATTAATTAAATGTATTCACAACTTTTTTAAACAGGAGTATAACAGTAAATGAAATAACAAATAATAATAAGAAGAAAAAGAAGATGAAGAAGACAAGATGACTACTACTATTACTATACTACTACTACTACTACTACTACTACTATGTGTAACTGATACAGTGCTGAGGGTTGTAAGCACCGTTTCACTCTATTGTTATTTTTCCTGAATCCCTGTATTCTTGTAAACAGTTCATAAGATGCCATAAAATTTAGATGGTTTAAAAATATATTACATGCAGACTTAATGACCATCACGTAGTCATTAATCTTGGAATCTAATGAAACAACTATCCAACAATGTATACACAATTCTATTATTAGCCCACGCCTAATCTTGCAAAAATTAACTTAGTATAATTAAGATTCGTCCTACGATGCCAATCTCTGGTCGTCCTAAGGTTTAGCGCTTCTTTTTGATAATAATAATAATAATAATAATAATAATAATAATAATAATAATAATAATAATAATAATAATAATAATAATAATAATCTGGTCGTCATATTTTTGGTTAGTATTATTTAAAATAAATGAACAACATAAATTTCAAGGTAGTAAAGCAACAATGAACTTACACTCAGCTTGTTTAGTAAAACAATTATTAGTTAATAAGTCAGGGTCTCAAGCTCTACAAACTTGTAACTGTCAACTTATTTTTTATCCCATGAACCTAACCTGTGTTCCCGGGCTAAAAGACTATGGACTTTCAACTCCTTTATTTCACAACTACAAAAATTCTCAGACGGACCAGGTACGATTCTGGACGTTTACCCTTACACCTGTTGTCTGTTTACCATACCAGTGAAATGATGTTAGGGTGTAAGCCGACTGTTGCCCCCTGTAGGGGTAGTGGGTAGTATACCTCAGACATGAGCTAAGACAGGTTAAAAGCTCTTAGCCTTGTGCCAAATAAAAATAACAATCTGTTCAGCTTAATGAACAGAGATGGGTTCGAATCCAAGACAAGCCATTCCTAAAAAACTAGCAGGCCAGTATGTTATCCACGGTACCATGCTGGCCAGAAAGACTTATTCAGTTAGGTGCATCTCTATACACACTAAAATGATTAGACTAGACCCAATTGTGACCATATATGCAGATTATTACAGATAAATCTTACACCAGCAATGTCTATACGTAACAGAAAGTGATATAATTTGAGTTAACGAAAAGTAGCATTTTTTTTTTTTCTTGGTATCCCACCAATACCGATCTTACAACACAGGTAGTAGGTTGGTAAACAGCAACCGCCCAGAGAGGTACTACCGTCCTGCCGAGTGTAAAACGGAAGCCTGTACTTTTCTGTCTCATAACCATGCAAGATTTCAGGTACATCTTGCTACTTCTACTTACACTTAGGTCACACTGCACAAACTTGTACAAGCATATATATACACACCCCTTTGGGTTTTCTTCTATTTTCTTACTAGTTCTTGTTTATTTATTTAAATAACTCTATTTACCTTATTCCTAGTATATATCCTTTATATCTCCTACATTGTATAACAATAAGGTATTAAAAGGACCCCAATGGAAATAAGTCACTCTGACATTTTTGGGTTATCCTAGGTCCTCTACACATAAGCTGCTATGTATGATAATCTATGTAACTGTATTTGTGTATACCTGAATAAACTTACTTAGCAGTGACTCCACACACACACACACACACACCACACACACACACACACACTGGGAAACTTATACAGTTAGGGCAAACAGATAGGCAAATACAGTCTGGCCACATGTTGTAACATACTTGTGCACATTATTTGGTATTTGTCACTTGGTTTAGTATTTAATTACTATTACTATCAGGACCATTATTATTACCAGGACCACTATTATCACCAGGAATGACTTTAAATTTATTATTTATAACTAAGATAATGTAATAACCCATATTTTTACTTTTATTACATAGCGTTTCTTATATATGACACATTTCACACTGACACCATCATGCACTATTTGAATGACAAACAGTGAGCATGCCTATGCTTTTGGCAAAGCTCTATGTGTAGCCTTCCACCCCTCACTCTTCCTGTGCGGTCAGCACTTAATGATTTACTGTCAACTGGGAAGGACATGAGTAGTTGTTCTGTCTCTATGTAGCCTCACAAACACCTTGAGTATCGTCTTGTTTGTATCCTACGTTAGTCCACTGTGTGTGGACTCTTGTTATTTTATAATAATAATAATAATAATAAATCATTATTTCTACAAGTACATGTACAACGTATACAGACCTAGCTGACATCAATAACATACCGTATAGAAAGCCGCCTGCTATGCAGAGCATTTCTGGCAAATTACCTGGAGTTTACCTGGAGAGAGTTCCGGTTTTGAAGGTTCTCATTATCCATCCTGTCATTTTTCTAGCAGATGCGATTGATACAATATTATGGTCCTTGAAGGTGAGATCCTCCGACATAATCATTCCCAGGTCTTTGACGTTGGTTTTTCGCTCTATTTTGTGGCCGGAATTTGTTTTGTACTCTGATGAAGTTTTAATTTCCTCATGTTTACCATATTGGAGTAATTGAAATTTCTCATCGTTGAACTTCATATTGTTTTCTGTAGCCCATTGTAAGATTTGGTTGATGTCCGCCTGGAGCCTTGCAGTGTCTGTAATGGAAGACACTGTCATGCAGATTCGGGTGTCATCTGCAAAGAATTGCTCATTACTCTATAATTTGTTCATGATTGTAGCCAAAGTATAAACGTAAGTAACCATTCTACAGAATTCATTACCTTTGTAACTTGTGAGCTCATTACCTTTGTACCTAGTTCAGCTATCAAAACTTTGGGGGCCCAGTCCCTGGACCCATTACGTACCTCTGTAATCTGTAAATACCTTTGTAACTTGTCATGATTGTGACCAGACTTACCTGGAGTTCATTACCTTTGTAAATTGTGAGTTCATTACCTTTGTAAATTGTGAGTTCATTACCTTTGTAAATTGTGAGTTCATTACCTTTGTAAATTGTGAGTTCATTACCTTTGTAAATTGTGAGTTCATTACCTTTGTAAATTGTGAGTTCATTACCTCTGTAACTTGCTCAGCTATCAAAACTTTGGAGTCCAGTCCCTGGACCAATTATGTACCTCTGTAATCTTTTGACTACCGCCCACAGGATGGGTATGGGGTGCATAATAAACATATTAAACTAACTTAAACTAAATCTGCAAAGGAAGACACGGTGCTGTGGCTGACATCCTTGTCTATGTCAGATATGAGGATGAGAAACAAGATGGGAGCGAGTACTGTGCCTTGAGGAACAGAGCTTTTCACCGTAGCCGCCTCAGACTTTGCTCTGTTGACTACTACTCTCTGTGTTCTGTTTGTGAGAAAATTATAGATCCATCTACAACTTTTCCTGTTATTCCTTTAGCATGCATTTTGTGCGCTATTACGCCATGGTCACACTTGTCGAAGGCTTTTGCAAAGTCTGTATATATTACATCTGCATTCTTTTTGTCTTCTAGTGCATCTAGGACCTTGTCGTAGTGATCCAGTAGTTGGGACAGACAGTTAGGTTAATCTTGTCCCCACACTAGTCGGCTAACACCCAGGTACCTGTTTAATGTTAGGTGAACAGGGACAGTATATATCTTAAGGAAACACGCCTAATGTTTCCACCGGTAATGGAGATCGAACAACCGACCTCAATGTGTGAGCCGAGTGCGATACCAACCGAGCTACGGAATACCCTTAACTATGTTATTGAACATAGCCTCTGAGAGGGCCCTCACTCTGATTTTTAATTAGAGCACCCATGAAATATTGATACATTTTCATCAACACATGTCACGTCGTTGTGGCTTTAGCTTCTGAACCCTGCCACGGCAGAACAGTCTGAGAGAAATGTCATTGTCATCCCAAGGTTGTATGTGAATTTACTGCGTTCTGCGCTGTGAAGTAGTTTGTAACTTATTCTTTTGGTGCAGCCGTCCTGAGTGGACAAATTATGTGCACTACACTATTTCTTGGGGCTGACTCATTTGAATGTTGTTAGCCTTTTACTTTTTTGGTGTATTGGATTCTATTTCTGCATTCTCAGGAAGGCGTGAAAGGTCCTAGTGCAGTATATGCTCAGCGCTGTGGACTAGGCCTTCACTTGCAATGAATGAACTTTATACGGGATTGCTTTGTTGCTGTCTATACACTGCATTTTGTGATTTTAGTATTTAACTAGCAGGTATCAGCACACACGCACACACATACACATACACACACACACACACACACACACACACACACACACACACACACACACACACACACACACACACACACACACACACACAGTGGCGTTGCTGATCAAAAATCGCTGGAATTTTGATGAGCTGGAGAGAGGAGACAGCGGAGAAGAAAGTGATTACATAGCGGGAACACTTCACTCTGGAGGTCCCAAGGTGGTAATAGCAGTGATGTATAACCCACCACAGAACAGCAGGAGGCCAAGGCAAGAGTACGACGAGAGCAATAGAGCGATGGTTGACACACTGGCTAGAGTGGCCAGAAGAGCTCATGCATGCAGGGCAAAGCTCCTGATCATGGGTGACTTTAACCACAAGGAG